CGCCGGGGCCGCCAGGCTGCGCGGGCGGAGAGCCGGGCCTGCGGGGCGGGCGGGGGAAGAGGAGCGAGGAGAGAGGGGGAGAGAAAGTTGAGCGTCAGAGTTGGCAGCCGGTGTCTGCGCCTGGCCCGTGGCGCTTGGGGTCGCCTCGTGCTTTGTTGGGGAGCCCGGCCCGTGCGCGGCGGGACGCCCAGCGGCGTCGCCCGATGCCAGGCGCACCCCCAGCCCCGAGGATTGGCCACCGAAGATGCCTCCGGCCTTCCCCGAGGCGGGCGCACGTGACCCTGGTTGAGAACCGCTGGCTGCACCCTTGCGGTCCCCCGTCCCCAGAAGCGTTTCTTTCCTTTATCTAGGCAGGCACATTCACACGCACACGCACACGTGCGCACACACTGTCAGAGTCAGGAGGGGGCGGGTCTGGCAGCTGTTTCCATGGCGACAGTGCCGCCAGGCCGGGCACACCCACCCAGCCACCCTGGGCTGTGGACTGCAGAGGGCGCCGACCTCTCTGAGACTCCGCGGGACTGCCCTGGGCTTCCCTCTTCCCCTCTGCAAGGTGAGGACCCCGCAGCTACCCGGAGGCTCCCCCAGCCCAGCACGGCGCCCCTATCCTGGTGCTGGACATAGGTCTGTCCTACTGGAGTCCTGGTCAGAGTCTGCGGAACATCCCCGGAGGCTGTGTGTGTGTGTGTGTGTGTGTGTGTGTGAGTGAGGACTGAACACAGGACTCTTGAGCTGATCTAAATCCCCAGGCCTTTCTTAATTTTCAATTTTCAGATAAGGTCTTGATAAATCACTGTTTCCCAGACTGGGCTTGAACTTTCCGTCCTCCTGCCTCAGCCTCCCAGAGCACTGGGATGACAGCTGTGCACCTCCATGCCTGCTGTGTGCTTTGGTGGGCACTGAGCATCACAGCTGTGATGGTCTGTGGGTTCCTGTGAGGGGGACAGTCAGGGACACAAAGTAAAAGTGGCACACGCTGGCGGTGCCCTGAGGAGGCTGGAGATGACCCGGATGGAGCAGTGTGGGCGGGGCCATTCACTCCGGGTGGTTTTTTTTGTTCCCTTCCGCTGTGTGTTTATAGGGACCCGCGGGCAGCAGAATAGCTGGCAGGGGACAGGGACAGGGTTATGAGGGTGCTGTGGTCCCCCAGCTCAGCTAGCCCCGCCCTTCCCTGAGCTCCAGCGAGGGACACCTGCTGCCTGCTGGTGCCTCCCAGTCGGTGTCCCACAGGGACCTAGAAGCCACTTGGCCCGCACTGTGGATTTTGGTGTATCTTCCCAAAAGTAAACAGAACCAGTCTCTGGGAGGCTGAGGCAGAAGGACTGCAACTTTGAGCCCAGGCTCAGGGAAACATCTCAAGAAAAAATTCAAAGAGGCCTGAAGATCTGGCTCAGTGTGATGGCCTTGGGTTCCCCCCAGGCACTACAATCAATCCACTGGGAGGGTAAGAAAGAAAGAAAGAAAGAGAGTGGGGGGAGGAAGGAAGGAAGGAAGAAAAGAGGGAAGAAGGGAAGAAAGAAAGAAGCAAAACTCCACACACTTGCCGGGCATGGTGGCGGCGCACGCCTGTAAGCCCAGCACTCAGGAGGCTGAGGCAGGAGGATTGTTACAAGTTTGAGACCAGCCTGGGCTACAAAGTGAGCTCAAGACCAGCCTGAACTGCACAGCAAGACCCTGTCTCTAAAAGACAAAAAACACACACACAAAAACTCCACACACTCACACCTGGGGGACCTGGCCTCCCTCCTGTGTGTTACAGCAGCCCAGCCCCTCCCTGCAGGTCAGCTCTGTGCCACATTGTGTCACCCGGCTGACCCCCCCCCCTTGACTCTCGGAGATGACGTTTGTCTGCCGTCACCCAGCGCACAGACGCTCATCCCATGGTGAACGTGGAGCCAGTGTGAGGTGGGCGTGCACTTGCACGCGCAGCTGAGTGAGGGCTCTGTGGTCTCAGGAGCCCCGTCAGCTGCCTGAGCCTCACAGCGTCCAAGCTTAGGGTGAAGGCATGGGCCGGTATGGCACGGATGGCTCTAGGTCACGTTCAGGGATGTGGGTTGGGACATGCAGGGCACGCCCCTCCTAGCGGTGCAGATGTGCAACGACATGGATTCCCTCACTGACTGAGAGCTGCACCAGCCTGTAATGCTGGCACTGTTCAGGAGGCTGAGACAGGAGGATTGCAAATTTGAGTTCCAGCTATGTGCAAAGGGGCAAGTTGTGCACTGCACAAGGAGGCCTGGCTGGGAGGGCGAGCTCCAGCTGGGAGCTTCTCCCCGGGCAGATGCCAGAGGGGCTGCGTCCCTCTGCTCCAGGAGGAGCCTGCTCAGCTCTCAGGTGCCACCTGCCTGTGGGTCCTGCAGTGTGGACTTCGGGGCACTCATGCCCCTTCTGTGCACTGACTCCAGCCAGACTCAGGGACACAGTCTCCCCGCTAACACGCATGCACGCACACACACACACACACGCATGCACACGCATGCACACACAGGCGGCCTCTCCACACCCCTGTGCACACAGCCCCTCCAGGTGGAGGGACTGCGACCCATCTAGACCCAAGAGACTTCGGGGCAAGTTCTTCTTCTACCTGAAACACCACACAGACCCACAACCCAGCACACACACACAGCGACACGAGGCGTGGGATGCCGGGGTGGTGCCCAGACACGGCACGCAGGGACACCCATGGCCTGCGGCGCCTCTGCACGTGGACACACAGCTCCCGGACACAGCCGTGGGCTCCACACTCCTGACCCCAAGCACAGGACTGGCCACCAGGCCCTGCAGCGCTGCCGCTGGGCCCTGCTCTCAGCAAGGCTCTGTTCAGCGGATCGGGACCTGAGATGCAGGAACGAGGTCAGGGGCCAGACTGGGGGCGCTGCAGGGGACACGGGGCTGGGTGGTGGGGTGCCCGCGGGACGGCCCCCGGGAGGCCCCACTGCGAAAAGCAGGGGCGGGCTGTGGGGCCAGACGCACGGGAGGGGACCGGGACAGAGCGCGGTGGACAGGCTCCGAGGTGGTCCGGGGCAGGGAGTGAGGTGGGACCGAGGGTGGAGGGAGGGACCGCGGGCAGGGGCCCAGCGCTCGTCCCGCGCCTAGGCAGGGAGCTCGGCATCCCAGGGGAGGCCAGGAGCGAGGGGACGGAGGGGGCGGAACCTCTGCGGCGGCGGAGGGGTCGACAGGTGGCGGCAGAGGGGCCGGGGGTGGCGTGGTGAGGGGGCGGGGTCTCCGCACTGGGGGCCGGTGGGCAGGTTTGGCGTGAGGACCGGGGAGCAGGCGGGAGACATGCGGGGAGGGAGGAGGGAGAGGCCGGGGTGCGGG